CTGCTGGGAATTGAACTCAGGACCTCTGGAAGAGCAGTCAGTGCTCTTAACCACTGAGCCATCTCTCCAGCCCTCAGTTTGCTTTCTTATATACATCAAGACCACCTGCCCAGTACCGCACAACCCACATAGGATAGGACCGTCCATATCAATCATTAATCAAGCAAATGCCCACAGACTTGCCTACAGGCAATCTGATAGGGGCATCTTCTCAATTGAGGCTTCATCTTCTCAGATAACTCTACCTTGTATCCAGTTGATTAAAAAATTAGCCAACACATAATGCTTTACATGTTCTAAATCATATGGCGTATTTCACTGTATTAACCTTTCTATACTTTGCTTTATCCTGTATTTCTGCACATATCCTTCATAAGTTCTATATACACACTATATATGCTGTTTGTGGACTCATTCTTCTTACAGCTTTTCATTAAAAACTTTTGCACAAATACCAAACATAGTAGTAAAAACCTAGTTAGAATACTTTAAGAAATTAGACATTGCACCCTAGGTATATCTTATTCCACTGCACTCAGTATCTGAACACAATATGCAATATTAGTTTGTATTTTAAAAATAACATTATAAAGCATTTTTTTAGAACAAAAAGAAATGCTGACTTTTGTTGTAGAATATTATTTTAAGGTGTGATGCTTTTGTTTATGTTGCATTTGTTTAACTTTGTGAAGCTGTGTTACTGTGCCTGTCTAAAACACCTGATGGTCTAACAAAGAGCTGAACAGCCAATAGCAAGGCAGGAGAAAGGATAGGCGGGGCTGGCAGGCAGACAGAATATATAGAAGGAGAAATCTGGGGAGAAAAGGAAGTAGCCAGAGAAGGAGGAGGATGAAAGGGACCAGCCACCCAGCTATACAGCCAGCTATGGAGTAAGAGTGAAAGTAAGATTACAGAACTAAGAAAAGGAAAAAGCCCAGAGGCAAAAGGTAGACGGGATAATTAAAGATAAGAAAAGCAGGCAAGAAACAAGCTAAACTAAGGCCAGACATTAATAATTAAGAATAAGCCTCCATGTGTGATTTATTTGGGAGCTGGGTGGTGGCCCCCCCCAAAAGAGCCAAAACAAACAACAGACTTTTGAAGGTCTAGGCTTTATATGGGGGCCTCACTGCCAGTTGCTCACTGTGAGTACCCATCGCCTGATCTCAGGGCCCCTCCACAGCCGCTCAAACCTCTGCAGCCTCTGGTGCCCCAGGGCAGGCAGCCTGTGGGCAGCACCCTCACTCCGGCCTTCTCCCTCGTCACATTTGAAGTCTGGGGATTTCCAGTGTTTTACAGCGAGACTGTGCACTTTGAAAATTGTTTGCTCTACCTTCAGCAGTACTTTTAGGTGTCATAGGGGAGATTTTCAAGATGGCTAATCTGCCAACTTTCTAGAAATAACAATCTTAAAAGCATTCTAAATATTCTATATATAGGAAGCACAGTCATTTCCCACAAGAACTTCACAGTCTGAATAGCTGACATATTTATAAAACATCTGCTTCGTGTTTCTTTAGGAGGATGTCAACTTAATCTGAACAACTTGCTGTGTTTCAGTGTTAAAGTTTTATATGACAGTTTCTATTTTCATGAATATTCTTTGTGGTTTTAAAATAGAGAATGACAGCATATGCCTAATGGGTTCAAAAAGAGAAACAACGGGGATATTTTCCCTCCATTGGAACACAAGAAAGGCAGCTCTTTCGCAGGGAAACAGCAAGGTACTGAGGAAACAAAGGGGCGAGGTAGAGGAGTAAACCCTAAATTGGTCAGGGCCGGCTTAGTAAGAAGTCATGGTTCTGAATTTGGTTGACTAGTGCAGACATGAGGCGGGATCAACTGCAGTAACGTGGGGTTTTAATGATGCAAGTACAAGCAAGTAGGAGACCTATGTGCTGGATAGTTTTATGTCAACCTGACATAGGCTAGAGTCGTCGGAGAGGAAAGAACCTCAGTAGAGAAGTTCCCTCCATAAAACCAGACTGTAGCAAGCCTGGAGAGAATTTTCTTAACCCATGCGGTTGGCTGTGGGTGGTGCCACCCCTGGACCTGTGGTGCTGTAAGAAAGCAATCTGAGCCAAGCCAGTGGGAAGCAGGCCAGTAAGCAGTACCCCTCCATGGCCTCTGCATCAGCTCCTACCTCCAGGTTCCTGCCCTGCGTGAGTTCCTGTCCTGAATTCGTTCAGTGATGGACAATAGGGTGGAAGTGTAAGCCACATGAACTCTTCCTTCTCCAAGCTGCTTTTGATCAAGGTGTTTCATCACAGCAATGGGAACCCAACTGAGACACTTTAATTACAGCCAGTCACTGAGTGTGAGTAACGAGGACAAAGGCTCTGCTCAGCCGTCCAAGTAGAAACTACCGCAACCAGCGTTCAAAGTTTGTGGTTTCTTGCTTTTGGTTGGTTGTGGGTGGATATTTTATTTTGCCTTGAGTCTATATATTTCTGAATTTCTCTGCAGGTCTGGGCCCTGGAGACTGGGAAGAGGGTCTCTTCTGCCTCCAACAGTTTGGTTAGTCACCGGAAGGTGCTGGGGTGGGAGGGAAGGATGGAATAAGTGAACTGTCTGTTAGATGAATGAGACTCAGTGCTGATTTCCATAACTCCTTCCCTGACAGGTCATCATGGCCAGAGCTTCTGTTGGTTAACATTTGCATGCAGCTGCCATCTCCTGGCCATGTTAACTCTTCCTTCTCACACACAGTCATTCAATGATCCCAGTGTCTCATTATCACTAGCCTGAATGCCATTAATACTAAGTTCTTTCTTCTCAAATCATTCACGTTCGTAATTCCATCTAATTCTCTGTTTTTTTAAACATTCACTTTGAATCACATATCTATGTGTGTGAGGTGGGGGTGGAGGCATATGCACGTGATGCAGTACCTGTGGAGGGCAGAAGAAGGTGTCAGATCCCTTGGAGCTGGAGTTACTGGTGGTTGTGAGCTACCCAATGTGGGTGTTAGGAACCAAACTCGGATCCTCTAGAAGAACAGTTCATTCTTTTAATGACTGAACCCTTTCTCCAGCAGCCCCATCAAGTTCTGGCTGATACAACTACTCTAATGGTCTTTTTGGTGTGAGCTGAGGCTGAGGAACTAGGTAGTGGGACAATTATACTGAGGTGGTCAGCTATGATGCTTAAAACATTTACTCAGACTACAAAAAGAAAAAAATTATGGCAAGGGAGGCAGAATGGATGTGTGTGGGTGGATCAGTTGCAAAACTTGGTCAGTTTCCCAGAAAAGACTAATACTATTTGTCATGAAGTAGATGTGGACACTATGAAGATTGCTCCCAGATCTCCAGCTTGTATAACAGGAAGAGGGGACATCTGCAGTGAGAACACTGGAGAGAACCAGGGTTTCCAAGTGTAGGCAAACACATAGTGAGCAGTCCCTTTAGCTTGACTCCAATTGACTTCAAGTATGTTTGATCTTAAAAGCCTTTGGGAACACCAAGAGGAAGAGAAGTAGTCAGCTGGATTGATGCATCTTGGAAGGAAGTTTTGGAAGATTTGAAGTTTGTAAGATATAAACAACATCATTGCCTAAGAAAAATAGCCAGGAATGAAACTTGAGCAACCTCATTATTTTGTTACTGAATATAGGAGAGGTGTGCAAATAAAAAGCAAAAAAATAAGAGCCCAAGAAAGCACGTGGAACCCAGCTGTTGAAATTGTGCTTTGTCTCAGGTAAATATATCACAGATGGAGAGTATTTTTCCAACATCCAGACTTGCCTCACTGAGTGATGACGGTATATGGATTCTCTCGGATTTTCAGAAGCCACAGACATGGTGCAAATAGCACTGGATTTAAAGAACCTTGGTTTGTACCCTGACGTCACCTTCCATCTGTTACATGGCATTGGGAAGTTGCTTAATCTATCTTACTGGCAAAAAAAAAAAAAAAAAATGGAGATGGAATTTTTACTTCTACCTTAAGACCTCATAAAAATTAGACAAAATAATGTAAAGTGTGCAGCCTAATATGTAGCATGTAGTAAATGTTAGACACTTTGACTTTTCATGAAAAGATTAAGAGCATTGAGAGCAACACAAAGCAAACCGTAACAGTGGATTCGATCTAATAAAGAAAGAGGATGTGCCTTAATTTGCCGAAATGAGCAAGTGAGGCAAACTCAGACTTCTGGCTTAATCAATGTCCTGTTGCTGTGAAGAGACACCATGACCACAGCAAACTTATATAAGAGAAAACATTTAAGTGGGGCTGGCTCACAGCTTCAGAGTCTAGTCTGTTACTGTCATGGTGGAGAGCATGGTGGCACACAGGCTGACGTGGTGTTGGAGAAGCCGGTGGGAGGTTCCATTTCTGGATCTGCAGGTAGCAGGAAGAGAGTGACACTGGGCCTGGCTGGTGCTTTTGGAACTTCAAAGCCCACCCCCAGTGACAGTAGTTCCTCCAACAAGGCCACACCTCCTAATCCTCCTCAAGTAGTGTCGTTCCCAGATGACCAAGCATTCAAATATATGAGCCTCTGGGAGTCATTCTTATTCAAACCACCACTGTCAGGATGAGGACGACCAAGGAGTCTCAGTCCCTGAAACCTTGTTAGCTTTACATCCACCCTGTTGCTCCTGGGTGCACCCAAGAAGGAAAGAAAGGAGCGAGAAAGGAAGAAGCCACGCCTTCTCTAAACGGCACGATTAGGTCACATGACCGGATGGTGCGTGCTTTGTATTCTTCCTCGTTTTTCCTCACCAAATGCAATGCGGGCTTTGTGCACGACACAAGCTCTGTTACCTTCGTGTTCCTGCAATAAAACACGTGACAGAAGGGACTGGGGGAGGAGAGGTTGATTGGGGCTCATGGTTCTGGAAGGACCAGTCGGTCATGTTGAAGTCCATTGTGGTGAGGAAGGCATGGTATTGAGATGGTTTGGCTCAATTCGGCAGGAGCTTTTGCCTGCCGCTTCTTCTACCTCAGTGGATCGGGAAGGAGATTTCTCATGCCGGAGCAAGAAGCAAATATTACCTCTAACGCTCTCCAGAGATCCACTTCTATTAGCTTTGCCCCGGTGCCAGCGGCTCTGCAGCATCCCACGGTGCAACCAGCAGAGGACAAAGTGTTCAAACGTCAGAACCTGTGGGGACATTTCAGATCCAAACCACAGCACAGTTGCTTGTGATTACTAATATGTATATTCATTTCCTTATTGCAGTCAATATAGAGTTATATGTGTTAGGAATACTGGTAAAAGTTACACAAACATCTTATCCTCATGAAAGGGTCACTGTAGGAAGAAAAGGTAAATTGACCCTATCTATTAAACGCATCTTTAAATGGGTTTGTAAAAGAAACTCCCAGACCACAAGGTGAGTTAAAAATCCCCGCCGGTGTGTGGACAGATGCCTTATAAACTCCCAAACGGCTCTACCCTTCTCCGTCTCTGTGGTTTGAGAGCAGTCATTTCATCTCCCTGTGCTGTTGTTTCATTGGCTGTGAATAAACAGGGCTCGTCCTCACCTTAGCGGATGGTCGTGAGGATCAGCTGGGATGGTTCACATGCGCTCGTCCTCACCTTAGCGAATGGTCGTGGGGATCAGCTGGGATGGTTCACACGCGCTCATCCTCACCTTAGCGAATGGTCGTGGGGATCAGCTGGGATGGTTCACATGCAGAGCTTTGCAGCCCTGCACAGCACACTGTGGTTTCAGTACATATGTTATGAGGACAGTGTCATTGGCTGTGTCTACTGAAACCAGCACTTAGAGTTATTCGTTGAGGTCAGAACAGAGGAGGGATCGGGAACAGACAGAGGCTTGTCTGCTGGGCAATTAGGATGCGTTCTCCACTTTGTACCACTTTCCCACACAGAAAGTAGGAACAGGAATAACAATTCACCCACGGCATTGTTGTGAAGGTGAGACCAATACATAGAAAGCATTTAAAACAGCCCTCAAGCTTTCAGAAAACGTGAAGCGGCCATAAGATATGCTGTTTTCGAAGCCAGGGGCCATGCTGAAGAGGGGGTGAGCTGTACGGCTCTAACTTGGCTCAACCCTCCCGAGTCAGCAAGCAATAGCAGGAGGCCCCAGAGACTGTTTGTTCTTTGACATGGACTTGGGAGGAAGGAAAGAGCTGCTGATAAGCACAGTTGTTTGAATTCACTCATGGGAAAAATAAAAACAGATAAGTGGAAATGAGTCACTCCCCAAGAAGGGCGATTTGGTAATTTACCAATAATGAATACTAAATTGTTCCAACACCAAAGCTTACTATTTCTCTGGCAGGTGTGTGTGTGTGTGTGTGTGTGCGCGCGCGCGCGCCATGTTAGTAATTGTCACGTGATTTGTCTCCCATCAGCTCCAGGAGATATATCACTCCTAGAAACAGTATTATGCATTGCAACAGCTGAGATCGCTGTAATCACACTGGTGCCTGGGAGCTGGAGCTGTATGATAGGGTAGGACCTGGACTACATCTTATTTTCCACATAGCCCAGATTATTTCAGTCTGCAGCTGTGACTGAGAACTGTCTTAGAAGAGACGGTTCCAGAATCCCAATCAGTGGTCATCAAAACCCTTCCCTCACAGCTGCTAGCTCCACAGAGTGCGTTTGCACGCGGAATAATGCCTGAGTTTGTCTAACGTCTTACTAAAAGCTGACTTCGATTTCTTTTGCTCCCATTTAGCAAAGTGAAGGAAAAAAGAAAAAAAAAAAACTTTTGTTTTGTACATCCACCCAACATTTGACGAGCATCTGCTACAGGACAGCGTTGTCTTTATTGAGAGGGCTGTGATGATGAGCTTCATAGTATGGGGCGTGGCCGAGCAGTCATTTAAGTAAGTGATTCACTTTTTCCGAATTTCAAGTTCAAAGAGCAACTTGTAGTTGGTTAAAATGAGTTTCTGGACCTGTTTTGTTTTTGAGAGATGAGCTCACTATGGTGCCCAGGTTTACATTTATAAACCTCTGGCCTCAGAAACCTGAGTGTGGTACAGGTATGTACCACTAAGCCTGGAAGCTTGTGGATTCTCTAGATGAAATTGTTTTTTTTTTTTTCAATTTTTTTATTGTAATAAAATACGTACAGCAACTGTGATCTTAGCATTCCTAAGTGCACTGAGGCATTAGTAGGAAAATTTCAATCCGAAGAGGTTAATCATACCCAAGAAAATACAAAAAACAAATAATCCCAGAACAGCAAATCGAAGCAGGGGAGGGGCACATTTTTATTGACAAAATAGACTTCAACCCAAAACTTATCAGAGACACAGGGAAGGACACTGCATGCTCATCAGGGGAAAAATCCACCAAGAGGATATTGTAATTCTAAACAGTTATGCATCAAACACAAGGGCACCCAAGTTCATAAAAGAAACACGACACCAGTGAAAAATCATATATTGACTCTAACACAGTGATAATAGAAGACTTCAGTATCCCACTCTGGCCAATAGACAGGTCATCCAGACAAAAACTAAAGAGAGAAATGCCGGGATTAAATAATGTCATAATCAAATGGAACTAGCAAATATTTACAGAACATTTCACCCAAACATAAAAGAATATACTTTCTTCTCAGTAATTCATGTAACTTTCTCCAAAATTGACCACATACTTGGACTCAAAGCAAGTCTCAACAGATATAAGAAAATTGAAATAACACATGGCATCCTCTTCTATCTTATCACCATGGATTAAAGCTGGATACCATCAACAGAAACAACAGAAAGCTTGCAGACTCATGAAAACTGAAAAACACACTGTTGAAAGAAAAGGAGGACAAGACAGAATTAAGAAGGAAATTTACAACTTCATAGAAATGAACGAAGATGCAAACACAACATTCCCAAACCATTAAGATACAATGAAGGCAGTTGTAAGAGGCAAGTTCAGAGCACTGTGTGCCACATTAAAAAACAAACAAACAAACAAACAATGGAGATTTCATATTAGCAGCTTAACAGCACACCTGAAAGCTCTCAAACAAAAATAAGAAATAACACCTAAAAAGAGTAGACTGAGGAAATAATAAAACTGAAGCCTAAAATTAATGAAATAGAAATACCACCGCCACAATTAACAATAACAGCAGAAACAATACAAAGTGTTAATGAAATGAAGGATTGGTTTTTGAGAAAAATCAATGAGATGAATAAACCCTTAATCCAATTAACTAAAAGATGAAGAGAGAAGATCTAAATTAATAAAATTAGAGATGAGAAGGGGACATCGCAGTGGGCACTAACCAAATCCAGAGGATTGTAAGGGCATACTTGGAAAATCTGAACCCCACCAGACCAGAAAAAGAGATGAAGTTTTGTATAAATATGACATACCAATGTTAATTCAAGATCAGCTGAGCAATTTAAACAGACTCATAACCCCTAGTGAAGTTTATGCAGTTTCTAAAAGACTTCCAACCCCAAAGCACCCAGGGCCAGATAGACTCAGCACAGAATTCTACAAAACATTCAAAGAAAAATTAATACCAATGCTCCTCAAAATAGAAACTATTTAATTAATTGAGCTAGGATTAGCTAATTAATCCTCAAAATAGAAACTGGAAAAAAAAAGATTTTCTAATTCTTTGAGGGCGCTCTTCTCCTGATACCTAAACCACACAAAGACACAGCAAATAAGAAAAACAATAAAGAAATATCCCTTATGAGCGTAGATGCAAAAATTCTTAATAAAATACTTGCAAAATGAATACAAGAACACATCAAGAATATATCATTCATCATGATCAAGTAGTCTTTATCTCAGAGAAGCAAGGAAGCTTCAATATATATGAATCAATAAATGTAACTCACCATATAAACAGAGTGAGAGACAAAAACCTTGTGATCCTCTCACTAGATACAGAAAAGGCCTTTGGCAAAGATTCAGTACCCCTTCATGACAAAAGTCCTGGAGAGACTGGGGATATATAGGAAATACCTTAACACAATAAAGGCAATTTACAGCATTCCCACAGTCAACTATCAACCTAACTGAGAGAAACTCAAAGCATTTTCACTGAAATCAGGAGCAAGACAAGGTTGTCCACTCTCTCCATGTCTGTAAAATACAGTACTTGAAGTCTTAGCTAGAGCAATAAGACAACTGAGAGAGACCAAAGGGATTCAAATAGGAAAGGAATAAATCAAAGTATCTCTGCAGATGCCGTGACTCTATACATAAATGACCCTAAAAACTCCACCAGGAAATGTCTACAGCTGATAAGTACTTTCAGTAACATAGCAGGATACAAAATTAAGACTCAAAATTTTGTAGCCTTTCTGTATACTAATGACAAATGGTATCAAGGAAACACTACCTTTGAACAAATGGTGCTAGGCAAACTGGATGGCTGCATGTAGAAAAAATGCTAATAAATCCAGATTTATCACCATCATTTGAGTAAAGCAGAAGACTACAGAATGGGAAAAGATCTTTACCAATTACACAGCTGATAGAGAGTTAATATGTAAAATTAAAAAATGTAAAGAAATTAAAAATATCAAGAAATCAATTGACCCAATTAAAAATGGGGTACAGAACTAAACAGAGTTCTCAAAAGATGAAACACATATCTGAGAAACACTAATAAATGTTCAACCTCCTTTGTCATCAGGAAAATTTAAATCTAAACTACCTTGAGACGTCATCTTATAGCATCCAGGATGGCCAATATTGATAAAACAAATGACAGCACATGCTGGTAGGGATGTAGGGTAAGGGGAATACTTAGTCACTGCTGGTGGGAGTCCAAATTCATGCAGCCACTATGGAAATCTCTTTGATGGCTTCTTAGGAAGCCATGAATCAATCTACCTGAAGATCCAACTATACTACTTTGGGGCATATACCTAAAGGATGTTTCATCCTACCACAGAGACACTTGCTCACCTGTGTTCATCGCCATTCTATTCATGATAACAGCCAGAAGTTGGAAACAAGCCTAGATGTTCATCAACTGAGGAGTGGATAATAAAAATGTGGCACATTTACACAATGGGATAGTAGTCAGCCATAAAAAAAAACACACCTAAAATTATGAAATTCCAAAGTAGATGGATGGAGCTAGAGAAACATCTTGAGTGAGGGAACCTAGACTCCAAAAGGTATTGTATATTTTCCTCTCCTATGTCTATATTAACCTTTAATCCTCCAACCCATAGAACCACAGAGGTTAGGTATCAGGTAAGGTGTGAGGAGAGACCCTCCCAAGGAAGGAAAACAGAATATATAGTAATGGCTAGACAGTGGGTGGAAATGGAGTGGGATATTAATGAAGAGGTGGGTGGGGATCCAGGTAAATGAGGGAATAAGGGAAGGGATAATTGACACTAAGCCCCATTTGAGATGTCATATGGAAACAGAAAAAAAAAAAAACATGCAAAAACCAGAAAACAAAAACAAAACAACAAACAAACAAACTCAAACAAATATTCCCTTCTGTGTTTCCTTCATCTTACTGCCTGTTCATGGTGGAGCCAAGAACAGGTATTTTGAAAGTAAGGCCAAGGATTCTCAACTCTTGGTGAATTCAAAAAGAAAAGTGATCCGTAAAGTCCAGGAAAAGTTTAAAAGAAAAAAGTTGCCCTTGTATTTAGTGAGACCTAGCCCTTGATCAATTTCCACTAAGTGGGATGAGATGGGTATTGCAGAATACAGAACCAGCCTTTTAAAAGTCAATATTTGCTCCATCCATACTGAAGTTTGCAAGATGCTCTGAGCTATTTGGAGCACTCAGACAGACTACGCATTTGAATATCGACCAGGAGGAAAATGCTTTCCTTGTCCTTGGGATGAACAGAGTTTCTGGCTTTTGTTCTTCCCCTTCTGCTCGTTATCAGACACAGAGAGGTGAAATCTCTCCAGCCGGGGAAGCTCTTCCTTTGTCAGTAGAAATTGACACAGCCGGGTTGCTTTTTAGTTGTCTATTACTCTTTGTGCGTTGACTTTCTGGTTTTACATTTTTGTGAAGACAGTAGAGAAGGACACAGGATGATAGTTAATGCCATGCATGTGTGTCAGCCCAAGACGCACACCTAAACTTGCAGATTTCATACATTTCCTTACAGGATCGAGTTTAGGCGGTGCGTTACTGTTTTCACTGTGATGACCAACTATCTGATAAAAGAATTCAAGGGAAGAAGGGTTGGGGCCTTAGTTCAGAGTGTTCAGCCCGTGGCTACTTGGATCCTTGTCTTTGTCAGAGGCAAGACCACAGGGTAGAGACTCTTCGTGATTGACAGGAAGTGGAGAGGGAATATAGGCCTTCTGCGCATGTCTGCTTTTTCCTTTTCTTTTCCCGGGGTTCCCAGCTGAGGAGCTGCTGGGCTGCTAACATTCTCCCTCAGTTTATCCTCTTTGGAAACTCCTTCAGAGATGTACCAAGGTGTGTCTCCTCCGTTTCCTAGGTGATCCTTGTTTGGTCCCCCAAGAAAGTTTTATCTCTAGAAAGAGGAACATCTGGCCCTTCCATTAACATATGACTGTGGTGCCTATTAACTTGTCAACACTAGCCTCTAAGCTCCCTGGTCCCTGCCCTCAAGCCCCTCATCTCTTGTTCCCATTTAATCCTGAGAATATTTCCCCTGTCCCTTCTCCTTGCTTTTCCCGGGGAGACAGTCTTGGCAATTTGGAATAAACTTTTTCCTTTTTCAGCCACGGAGTACCTATTTTGGTTTTTTTACTGCGCCCATTTTCATTCAATCCTAAATCCAGTCAATGATTGGATTTGAAGGAAGTGAAGATTAACCACTACATGTTAGAACAGTCTACTTGGACTGCCTGGCTTTGGAGCTTGTGTAGATTTTTTCATTTCTGCTATAAATTTAGAAACTTCAAATCTGAGTGGGTATAAAGTTTCCTATCAAAAAAAATGAAATCACACTACCAGGTATGGTGGTGTACACCTTTAATTCCAGCACTCAGGAGGCAGAGGCAGGCATATCTCTGTGAGTTCAAGGCCAGCCTGGTCTACAAAGTAAATTAATGGCTAGGCAGGGATACATAGAAAGGCTGTGTCAAAAATAAAAACTAAGAAGTTGCACATGGTTACCCAGTAAGAGAATGTTAATTAAAAGTTCTTTGAGATTCCCTGTCCCTTCTCCTTGCTTTTCCTTGTTATAGTCAGAACAGCTATCACAAGAAAATAAATGACAGAAATGCTAACAAGGATATGAGAGGAAAAGAAGCACCTTTACACACTGCTAGTGAGAGTGTAAACTAGTGCAGCCACCTTGGGACTTGTTCACCTGGAACAGCTCCCCCTAGCAGAGAAAGCTCCATTCCTGCCTCCCCAAACTCCGCCCTCTCAGAGAAACCCTCAAAAGTCGAGTTCCATCTTGTGGATGACTTGTCATTGCCCTCCAACTACAGCTCACCCCACTCCTCCTTCTGTAAGCCCTGCCCCCCTCAGAAAGACCACCCAAAGTTCAGGCTCCTCCCTGAAGCTCAAGACCACAACGTCAGGGTATTTAAGCCCAGGTCCCTAGACCTGCCATGTGATTTCTCTCCTGCTCCCTTTCCCGAAAGTCACCTGGGAAGGCTTTGCTCAGATTAACCTGATCCTTCACTTTTTTCAGCTCAATTTGGTTTACTGCATCGGCAAAGAAACCTACTACTGGGGATACAAAAATACCTATCAGGAGTCATGGAGGTTCCTGAAAGAAAGAAAGAAAAACAGAAAAACAAACCCTAAAACTCCCATATAACCCAACTATACCACTCATGAGTATTTGCCCAAAGGAATCTAAGTCACATACAGAGACCCTTACCATGTTGCTGCACTGTTTGCATTAGCCAAGATATGGCACCAGCTAGACTTTCTTCAGCACATGAATAAAGAAACCATGGTATGGACACAATGGTGTTTTATTCAGCTGTAAAGAATAAAATCATGTCACTTGTAGGAAAGTGGATGGACCTGAAGATCTACATATTAAATTAAAGCCAGACTCAGAAAGGCCAAAGCTGTGTGTTTTCTTATAAGCAGAATGAATTCATTCATCAGTATGAATGACATGAGAGTGGTCTATGCAGAAAGAGGAGGAAGGCTGAAGGGAGGAGGAATGTGAAGATGAACAGAGAACAATGATATACTTATATAAAGTGTCATAATGAAACCCATTATTTTTTATGTTAAAGTATTTATAAGCATGAAGCTATAGAAAGGAAAAAGCAATACGGCCGACCTCATTATAAATATATGTTTATTCAAGGATGATTTGTTATTTTTAACAAATATCAGCTACTATCTGGGGTTGAACTTCCTTCCTAGCTTTTTAAACCAAGATATTTGAAAAATGCTTTTGGATGCTGTGTGTTCAGCCTTGAAATTATTTCCTAGAATGCTGCTGCCGAAAGCCCTCAGTGCTGAATTTGAAGGGACGTTTCAATGGACAACCATTTAGAATACTCAGAGGAAATGGACATTTGAATGAATCATTGACCCAAACAAGAAAAGTGTCCACATTCTTTTAAGCGCATCAGTAATCAGCAGCAGCTTAGGGGACAGGGGAACATGCCCAGATCTTTGCTCCCACAGCAGAATAAATCACTTTTCTGAGCCCCATCTAAAAATTAACATTCTACAAGGCTCCCTTCCTATCATTCAAAGAATATGAGTAAGTCGATGTAAAATATACAGGCTAGCCTTCCCCAATCACGTTAGTTTCTTGTTCCTCTACAAAATACAGGTTTTTGAGGCCACCCTTCAAAAACCATTCCACTAAATAACACAAATTATCAAAAATTTAAATGTTAACTGTCCAGACTCTCTAATACATCAAAAAAGATTCACCTTTTTGAAGGACCTTATTTTGCACTACTTGAGAGTAAAACGTGAGTATTAAACTTTTTGATATATGTGGTGCTATGTGAGGATCTTCACTTTTTAAACAACCAACTTAATTATGTTTCGTATATATGCTATATCTCAATAAAATGTACTGTTAAAACATAATATATAAAGAAGCACATAGTAATCAACATGGAAAATATCTACATGTTAGATCACAAGCCAAAATAAATGAATTTTCCTAATAATATATAGAGTTTGTAAAATAAAAATTGAAAGGATCCACAACGCTAGAAAAAAAAAATATGTAAAGAATATGAACTTACTTGCAGTGACATAGCTCGGCGGGTGAGAGCCAGCCCAGCATGCAAAGGCATTTCATTTGCTGCCATGCCTGACGACCTGAGTTTGATCCATGAAACCCACATGGCAGGGGAAGAGAACTGACTCCCACAAGTTGTCCTCTGATCTCCACATGCACATTTACACTTTACAGGGGAGGGGGGAAATGAGCCACAAACATGTAAGAGAATGGTCAATCTTGTTTAAAAAGAGAAATACACATAAAAAATTTGATTGGAATAACTTTCTTTGGTCTACTAAATTGCTGAAAAGATGGAAAGGCCAAGATCAACAGACACATTGGTATGATATGGTGGGATATAAACTGGTACTACGTTTACTGAAGATAATCTCCTGGTAACTATCACAGGTACAAATGGACTTCCTTTGATCCAGTGATCGAGGGTCTAAAAGTTGAAGTATTTGCAAATTGACACATGTACCTGGATATTTATGGTAGCAATGCTTACAAGCCCTTATGATGGAAAACCACCTAAATCTAACAGTGATGAACAGTTAGATAACGGCACATTCCCAAAATTAAATCAACTGTAGGAAAGAATGGGATGTTCTTACGAACTGATAAGAAATTATCTTCAAGATATATTGTTGGCTGAAAATAATAACAGGGGACAATGGCAGTGCATATAATTAACTATCATCTATAAAAGACAGAGGTGAAATATGTCATATTTGCTGTTTACACACACAATACCCTTGGAAGGATATCCCAGAAATTCACTACCATGGACTTCTCCAGAAAGGGAAACTGGTTGGTGTGGGAGCCAAGGTTCAATGTAGGGCTTTTCTTTAAAATGCCTCTGTACCTTTTGAATATTAAACCAAGCGAGTTTACTTATAAAAGGAGAGGGGTTTTTTTGTTTTATTAAAATATGCCCCTGAGTTTTCATCCTCTCAAGTGAGTCTGGGATGCTTTCCAGATTGGAAAAAATCTGAAGCACAGTGGATGCATGGGCCCAGGGATTGAAGGCTTGATTGCTCTTGTCTTAAGGGCCCAGCAAGATGGAGAAGTGAGTTCATGGGGCACACTTTGGTGAAAACCCCCAAGTTTCTGTTCTGTTTTGTCTGTGCAGTGTGCTAATTTTTACAGCTCATGTTTCTAGTGAGTTGCCTCTATCCATAAAAATTAAACAAACAAAACCCAGACTGCTAAAGGATCCTGGTAAGTATTTATAGGGAATTGGATAATTTCTTGCAATATTAATTTCTCTAAAGAATCCCAGGAATCAGTTAAAGAATGCAGTTGTTCAGACTCAATCTTGTATTCATTAGGATTTTGCTCATCTTTCTGAAGAATGCTTTTTCTTGAATACTTCTATGAATAGCACACAGAAGACAGTTTTTATATTAAGACAAATTAGCTTGCTGGGTTTGTGTCATGTCTTATTTAGGGTGTTCAGCATCGAGTTTCTAACCCTCTGAAAATTATCAAAACTGGGTTTGGCAGTTAATTATGAAATGGCCAGGCTGGACTGCCAATTAGATGGCTTCTAACACACACTATTAAAACACTGAATTAAAAATTAGACCATGTGAGCAATGGCCTTAAGTATGTCCCAGTGCTAAGATACTTAATCAGGGAAATGACTCATCTTTTCAGTAGAGTGATCATTCTTCGATCCTTTGGGCTCTACATGAAAGACGAAGCAGACAATTTTCAGTTGCTATTCCTCCCATTATGGAGGACAAGACACTTAGTAAGGGAAGACACTCTACATCAGGAACTTTAGCTGAATGAGTTTTATAACTGTACCCAAGGGGGGACAAACAGAAATTACAGAGTGGAGAAATTGGCAATACAGGGCCAGGTCATCAATATTAACTTCACCCATGAGCAACTAATGCATATTTCTTGCTTTCCAATGACTTTTTCTATGGAAAATACAACTGCATTTTCTTTTTTTTTTTTTTTTTTTGGTTTTTCGAGACAGGGTTTCTCTGTGTAGCTTTGTGCCTTTTCCTGGAACTCACTTGGTAGCCCAGGCTGGCCTCGAACTCACAGAGATCCGCCTGCCTCTGCCTCCCGAGTGCTGGGATTAAAGGTGTGCGCCACCAACGCCCGGCAACAACTGCATTTTCTTATGCACTGTTTTGGCTAAGAATACAAATCTGCTTCTTTGCCATCAGGTGTTGACTTGAAGTTGTTTGAATCTTTGTTGCAGGAGCTCTAAATCTGTGGTGTTTGGGTCTTTGCTTCTTCTTTTGAAAATAGAGGTAATTAAACCAACTTAGACAGTCATCTAATTGGCAGCCCAGCCTGGCCATTTCATGATTAACTGCCAAACCCAGTTTTGATCATTTTCAGAGTGTTAGAAACTCGATGTTGAACACCCTAACAACATTCATAGATCCAGACCATTTACAGGGGAGAGTACCAGGCAGGAAGTCCTACATCGGGAGGTATAAACCGTGAGGACCATCCTGGAATTCTGACACAGAGAAAAGCTCGCTAAAATATCATTGTGTGTGTGTGTGTGTGTGTGTGTGTGTGTGTGTGTGTGTGTGTGTGTGTGTGTGTCTGAAGTTACACTTGAGTGGTGCCAGAAGTTTTAACTTGAACCAGGTTTGACAAGTACACAGCAGTGTTACTGTTACTGACTTCTCGTCTGTGGACTTACCAGATGTAAGCCATAGCTTAGTAGGAGAGCAGCTACTCACACTCAGGCTAACTCCTTCTGTAATGTTGGCCATTTGTTAGATCACCTGAGCTCTTTGAAGAGAAGTTAGCATTCTCAATTTGCAATATAATCTGCCATTTCAGAAAAAGGAACTAACTCATGTTAAAAAGATGTTGTATAAGCCAAAGGATGGATAGTTTGGGCTGGAATTCATACTGCAGTCTCTCACTTTATAGAACTGTCCTAAAGTGAACCCCAAGCTGTATAAATAAATTCCCTAAGTTGCCCATGAATCACTGAAGTTCATTCCAGGATTTCAATTAGTCCACAGTGCCTAGTATGTCCTCTACCTAAGTATCCATCAACTTGTTTCATTGTGTGCATCCAAATAATCCTCTGGAGATTACAGTATTTAAAATAGGTTAATAATTCCTCAAGACATTTACCTTCAAAACTTAAAAAAAAAGAATAATATCTTCTTTATTTTGAAATCAGTTGCCACAGGGCAGGTGGTTTTTATTCCTGGTTTCTCTATTAACATGAGGAGTAATTAATCAAGTTTTAGTAATATTTGATATGTTGGTTTTGAAAAAAAAATCTGCCAAGAAATTAGTGATGTGATACCCAGAGAAACAGCGGCCAGCATGCAGAAAAGCAAAGGATCTGCCACATGAACTTGTACTACATTAGACATGGATGTCAAGTGAGTACTTGATGAGGTTTGACATCAGGACAAATATAATAATAAATGTATCTCTTGGGACCATTGTGTAATATAAGAAATTACTGCCTGAACCGTGCTTAGCATGTAGAAACTGCTTGGTAAATCTTAAGTACTATTTATATAATAATAATATATTAATAACCTTGAATGCCTTTGACATTAATCAAATATGATCTAATTTGACATGAATCAAAGTTGTCCATGATCAAAGAGTGGTATAAATGTACAATATCACACTCAATGATTCCAACCAAATATACATATATTTGTTTTATTTATATAGATGTGGGTGTTTTCTATATATTTCCTGTATATACACACAAACATATATGTGAAATAGATACAAATCTTTGTGAAAGAAATGAACATAAATCCATAATAAATTTTAAAATCCTATGGAAAAATTGTGCAGGGTAATAGTAAAATTGTGATAAGCACACACAAATAAGACTGGCACTTGAACATTGCTTTGAATTAAAGGTAGGTTCCTTTGTGTTGCAGAATTAGTCATTTCAATTGCTCTAAAAAACCCTAAAAGAAGCCATCATGATGTTGCACAACGGTAATCCTAACAGGCATGAGGATCATGAGTTCAAGACCAACTTGGGTTAAATAGAAACTTGGAAGTCAGCATGTGCCAGAGACGGCATATAAGATGCCTGACCTGCTGCCAGCAGAGATTGGAAGTGAGGGACCCGAGATTGTGGACCATCAACCCTCCTTGCATTCCCCTCCGGATCTTCTGCTTAGCGTGCCTCTAGAGGGCCAAGGCAGAAATGTCTATGTGTCCCGAGGTCATGCTTTATGGCATGCACATGTCATGTTCTCCTGCATATAATTACTTCTTGTAATGCCTGTCTTTTTCTTCTACCTGATCTTCATGTTCTGTGTTCCTAGATCAATGGTGATTTCTGTGATACAGGAAAGAAGTGAAGTAAATTTCATAGGAAATTATACAGAGATGATCACCCAGGCTGGGGTTAAGGCAGTTATGCAATTCATGGGAAAGAACCTGCAGCCTGGGGAAGCTTTTCAGGCTTGGATAAACTGTACCGAATGTGTGGTCAACTATAACACATGGTATGATGTGTTATCAGCACACTGAACTCAAATTGGCCATGATGAATAATTCAGTTTCTGAGGATATTCCAAGGGCATTGAGTAAAACTTGAGACCCTAAGGGGCATTGGCTGAAGACTGTGGATGGAGTAACATGGATGGGATGACAAACTAAAAGTGTGGGAACCTAGAATAGGAGGAAAATAGGGGCCTCCACCAAGAAAGGGAGATGGCAACTTTAATTCAGATACTTTTTAATTCTTCTGAAGGAGTGTGGAGACAATGTGGCAATTGATGGAATGATTGCTACAAGCTTTATTGTGTTCCTAGATTTAAAAGAGCTGCCAAAAGATGAGCGTCCTTTCGTGGAAGCTTTGAAAATTCCATTAGGTCTTCCTTAAAATTGTTGGGATAAAGAAAGACATAAGTTGCTGACTTGCAGGGGCAAATTTCTTGTTTGAGGTCATTGTGGCCCACCAGTCACAGGGATTGGTGTTTGCAGAGGGCTGAGGAGGAACTTAGGCAGCTGCAGGGGTCTTGAGGTCAGAGCAGGCTGTGTGAGAAGGAAATGACTGTCTGGTACATTGACCACTGTTCTTATTTTTACCTTTTTTTGCAAAATTGCATGTTGCTAGCCTCTGGGTCAAGTGTTCAAATGATTGTATAATCATTAATAATAAAAATAGATTATGCTTGCTTTGGTGATAAGTCTGGGATAGTTCCTGTGTTTAGTAAAAGATGATGAAGAATGTATTGGTGATTTTCTAAGAATAAGCTTTGCAATCATGAGAACGTTTTGTATTGGGTGATTTCCCTTTTTTTTTCTGTTTCCCCTTGCTTATGACAATAAAAGACTGAGGTTTCTATGGCAAAAACAGAAGCTAAAGAAGCTGTAGCAAGAAGCTACTTAGCGACTGCAGAAGCCCAAAGTGCCCTGTCAGCTTGCACGAACAGTGTCTCTGAGTCGTTACTGTGCCTTCCAGGTATCCCATCCTTTGGACCCCTGAAACTGCTGAGGCTGGTCCCCGGCAAGCATGAGCTACAGGGCAAAATTTAAAAGTCTTAAAGGAACTAATGAATATCCACAAATCTTCACCATCCTACAAGATTCATACAAGTTCCCAGGGTGTACTCAGGCAGCTTCTGTTTTACTGGGATGAAGAAGAGCTGCTTTGAAAATGCTTGCTAGTTATCTTGGTGTTAAAACTCTCTCTGCTAGAACCTTTGCAGTTCAATAAGAACATGACAAGCCAATTAAAAATTGGACAAAAGAACTGAATATCTATGCTCGCAAAGAAAGCACTCAGTGACCCATCAGTAAATGGAAGGATATTCAAAATCATCAAGTGAAGAAGACAGCGAGGTAGCACCGAGTGCCCGCTGTGATGGTGAGACTCAGAAGTTGTCAGAAGGCTGGACAAGATGGTTTAGCCAGTAAGGGCACTTCCCTCCAAGCCTGGTGACCTAAAGTCAAGCCCAGGACTCACATGGTGAAGAGAAAGAACCGACTCCTGCAAGTTGCCCTCTGACCTCTGTGTACCATTGTGTCACAAACAATAAATACTTATACAAATAAATACACATAAAAAGTTTTCAAATTGTTGGAGAAAAAAGTCATTGAGCTGGCACTGTATCTCAATAGTAAAGCACTTGCCGTGTGTGTGTGTGTGTGTGTGTGTGTGTGTGTGTGTGTGTGTGTGTGTGTGTGTCCCTGGCTTCAGGCTGTAGTACCACACAATCACAAAAGCTGTAGACATATTAAGAAGTCAAAAGTCTCATGCATTACATAGTCCATTATTTTCTTCAAAGGGTAGACAGGGAGATCACCACATCTACTACTAGGATGATTATATGTTTTTTCTAAGTTAAAATAAGCATTGGTTGAAATGCAAATGGGACTGTATAATGGAGCCATACTAAGTTACTAGTTTCTCAAAGTATAAAAATAGAATAGTCATATGACCTGGAAACATGACCCAGATGTATAGGTATAACCCAGATATGTATCATGTATGTACCCATTGTAGAATTATTCAGAATAGTACAAAAAGTAGAAGCCAAGTGTTTACCCACAGATTTCACAACTCATGCCCAATACAAATATTGTCATCTATAAAGAGGAATGACCTTCTAATACATTACAGTATTAAGTAAACCCTGTAAACATTAGCTACGTGAAATAGTTCAGACATAATAACACACTTATTATATGATCATGTATATGAGATTACTAGAAAGGCAAATCCACAGTCAGAAAGCACAGTGGCAGTAACTATGGATCATAGGTGTGGTGATATTTTTAGTTGTGCTGAAATGTGATTTTATTTGTTGTTAATAAAAGTTTGCTTGGAGATCAGAGGTCATAGCAAGCCATAAAACAGGTGGGCGGCGGTAGCACATGCCCTTAATCCGATGACATGGCAGGCAGAATCTCTGTGTGTTCAAGGACACAGCCAAGTGTGAAGACATGAACCTTTAATCCCAGTACCAAACATAGAGACCTGGAGGTCTGTATAGACAGGCAGTGACTAGAAAGTCATGTGGCTGAGCTTAGAGCCAATGAGAAAGCAGAACAGAAAGGCAATAAAAACACAGGTTACACAGGAAGCAGCTCTCTCTGTGGAAGCAAAGGCAGCAAGGTGGAAAGATAAGGTAGTCGTGGCTCTTTGCTAGTGCTCTGATCTCTTTGGCTGTTTCCTCTGTGTTTGGCTCTGTGTTTCTTATTTAATAAGACTGTTTAGAAATTTGTCTACACATAGGTGAGTGGAATGAGAAGTTATTGCCTCATAGGCTGGGAATTTGGTATGGAGTAAGTTTGGAAAACAGCAATGATAACTATATAACATCGTGAGTGAGAACAATGACAATAAATCATATACTTAAGAACAGTTAATCCGGGCATGGTGGTACATACCTACAGTAACCCCAGCTCTTGGAAGGTAGCAGCAAGGAGAACCAAAGTCATTTTAGCCATATACCAAATTCTAAGCCAGTCTAGATTACATAAGATCCTGTCTTCAAAAGATAAAAAGCCAAAATCAAAAATTTAATTGTTATATTTTATGTTTCATATATTTTAAACTATAATTTTAAAAATTAATCATATAGCACACAAAAATACCCATTAAGTTGTTTTCCATAAATTGTGGAATTAAATGATCTGTGAATTGTATATGCATCAATAAAGCTATCATTTAAAAGAATGAATGTTGAAATCCAAAAATATCTCTTAAATATTACTTACCCATATACACACAAATAAATGTCTTTGTGGATTGCATCTGAACTCAAGCAAGCTTTCTTAAACATCTCTAGTTCCATTGGGGGTAATCCTATCCACACTTTTCCTTCCAAGTATTATCATGGTGGAAATTTTCTCCCTTTGCTAGCGCCACAAAAGCAGGTGCTGTGTTTGCTTTTAATTCACTATCGTTTCATGGTGTCTGGCAAAGTGACACACAATCAGTATTACGTGGATGGATGGATGGATGGATGGATGGATGGATGGATGGATGGATGGATAGATGGATAGGTGGGTAGATGGGTGGGTGTGTGGATGGATGGGGTAAATGGGTGGGTGGATGGATGGGTAGATGGGTGGATGGGTGGATGAATGGATAGATGGATAGGTGGGTAGATGGGTGGGTGTGTGGATGGATGGGGTAGATGGGTGGGTGGGTAGATGGGTGGGTGGATGGATGGGTAGATGGGTGGATGTGTGGATGGATGTGTGGATGGATGGATAGATGGATGGATAGATGGGTGGATAGATGGGTGGGTGGATGGATAGATGGGTACATGGGTGGGTGGGAGGTGGATGATGTATGGGTGGATGGATGGGTGGATAGATGGGTAGATAGGTGGGTGGGAGGTGGATGGATAGATGGGTGGATGGGTAGATAGGTGGGTGGATGTGTGGATGAGTAGATGGGTGGGTAGGTGGGTGGGTGGGTGGGTGGATGGATGGATGGATGGATGGATGGATGGATGGATGGATGGACGGATGGATGAATAGATAGATAGGTGGATGGGTGGGTAGATGGAAGGGTGGGTGAATGGATGATAGATGGACGTAGGCCAAGAGTTTTTATGAATTGTTTTGGGTCTTGTTAGTTGATAATATAAAACTAGCAAAATGTATAGATAAAAGATTTTAAACAAGCTAGCAACAAGTTATGATTCTTGGTATTGTCTTTGGAACACACCCCAAGGGATGGACCCATAGCCATTCTAACACATTGTGCACATTGTTACAGAAAGACTCGTTCAGCTGTGCTGAAGGATGATACAAAGAATTTCCAATGGCCGGGGGCTGTTTTGTAGTTGAAGAAAAGATTTGTTTATATATTATATGAAAATTGAGTTCTGGTGGTAAAATGATGAGATAAACCTTACATTCTGGGCACGGGGGGAGTTTGTTTATATGAGAGGGAAACTCTCAACAAGTAGGCAAGTAGACACGGGTTGTTTAGATTACAGAGACAGTTCCAGGTAGAACAGCACTTTAAAGAGTATCTAACTTGGGAGGGAAATGGATTGAAGAAGTCTAAAGAACAGTAAAACAAGGGCAAAGGGCAGATGCAAACTGAAATTGGGGAAATATTCTTGGAGCTAATTACAGTCAGAAAGTGGAACCGTTTCCCTAAAGAGGTAATTATCGTAAACTCAGTCGTGACATTCAAATGAAAATGGAAGTTTTCTGAGATGTAGGGCTCATTTTTCTGGATCCAGGAAGTGCTATGGCTGCCTCAGAATTCATTACCATCTCCCATCCTTTATTCTTGGCCTCCTGTGAAGTTTTCCATTTATCTGAGATTGGGTCTGCAGAGAGTTTTACGATTGTGTGCCTAGTTGGTGTTTTGTATTTTACTGCAGGCATTCACTGGAACTTCTGACTTAAAACTGCTCCTAAGACTAGGCCAGCAGTAGTTAAGCGATATGGTTTTTTCATTTTGAGTTCAAAACAAGAAAGGCTGAAATTCCTATTTAAATTTTATTACCTTCCCAAGGTTTCCCTTACCCCAGGCTGGCCTCAACTCACCACCTGTGGATGACCTTGAACTTCTGATCCTGTTTTCACCACCGATGCACGGGTATTACAGGCATGTGCCACCACACCTGGCTTCTATGTGCAGTGGCTCAAACCCAGAAAATATACTACCAATGGAGCTACATCCTCAGCTCCTGAAATTTCCAAAGAACATTATAGATTAGTAAAATTCAGACCCTCTCAAACTATTAGGCAGTTAACACTCTGCAAAAATTCAGTACATTTATATAATGTAAGAATCCTGTACCCAGTAGTGATTTTTCAACAATGGATTCATTCTTCTTTTTCTCCCTAAATTCCAATAAGACCGTAGTAAATGAATAAAGAGCACATATTACATCAGTGATGGAAAAATATTTTGAGAAATTTCTAGAGAATCGAGAAGGAGGAAAGACTACTGACAGTTTACAGACCTGAACACAAGACAACTGACACTGTGGGTGTGGGAAGAGTCTGCAGATATTTCTGGAAGAATCTTCGGGGAGGCAGGTGCTGTGGGAAGGTAGATGTGGAAACGGGACCAGAGAGAAAGGGCTTGGACTAGGTGTCCCTGAATGGCTTCTCTGGGTAGTGTTCTCTCTTCCCTTCTCTTCTGGGAACTTTATTCTCTTGCATAAAAGGGCAGAGGACTCTTCTATTAAGATCTAGTAATCTGCCTCGGAGCACTGGAGTGGTTAGGGTAGGTGTCTCCAGCCATTAGCATTTTGATATTTGGAGGCCACCTCTGCTTGAGACCTCCTCCCTTTTTGTCCTCCTCTCTCCACAGATGCAGATCTTCTGTTCAGCCTCATGATGACGCTCGACAACCACTGAGAACAAAAGCAAGACACATGCCTGGAACACTCAGATCACTCCGGCAAGGTCACACGTAGGAAGGCAGTCCCCGGGTGGAGAGGGTGGGAAAAGATACCAAAGAGAGAGAGTGAAATCCTATGAAAACAAAATGGTAGAAAATAGAATGGGCTCAAGACAGTAAACAGCAGAGAGGAACGGACCAGGCTTGGGAGACAATGGGGAGAAAAACAAATGTTTCTCCTTGACAGGGTTCAAATAAACACACACAGTGTGGTCACACTTGGGTGGATATCACGAAAAGAGAACTCATACAGTATCGCAGAATTAGCTTCCCAACAGCCCAGAGGACACGACATGGAGACCCAGAAGAGCACTGTGCTGTTCCACAGACCCAGTCTACAGGATGCTATTGAGTATTCAGATCCAGTGGAGGAGAAGGAAAATAAGGCTCATCAAATAAGCAAGCATTTGAAAAGAGGACCAGGAAGAGGATATTAAATATTCAAATGTTTAGTTCTCCCAATAGGAGAACTAAAATCCTAACTTCCAAAATGCACAAGAGACGGGAACTGATTTAGAGAAAACTGTGATGTAAGCCTCCTCTTTCGAGGCAGGAAGTGAAAGTCAGTGGCTTAATTGAGCAAACAAGCAAAGAGTGCTCGAGCATGTTTACTGCATGCAAATAGTCACCCGAAAACAAGAGATGCTTAGCTGGCTGCTTCTGTGGGACTCAGAGGCTGCTGCTCTCCCTCGGGAGCCCTCCTGTGCTCTTGTTCTGTTGCTATGTGCATGGCTTAGTTTGATTTTTTTTTTAAAGTTAAAACTAAAATTGTTTTTCTCAAAGCCAGAGAGGAAATACAAGATTTGAATAATCATCTCCTCACTTAGGTAATTAATCTGGGTAAAAAGAAAATGATAGGGCAACGTGGCATATGAGTTTGTCCCTGAACACCAAGAGAACTGTCTTAGTTAGGGCTTCTATTGCTGTGATAAAACGCCATGACCAAAAGAGCAACTTAGGGAGGAAAGAGTTAACCTCACCTCACAGATGACATCCTATCACTGAGAGAAGTCGGGGTAGCAACCTATACCCAGCAACTGTATTAGCTAGTCCAACTTGACATAAGCTAGAGGCATCAGAGAGAAGGCAGCCTTCACTGAGACAGTGCCTCCACAAGATCTGGCTATAAGACATTTTCTTAATTAAGGATTAATGGGGGAGGGCCCAGCTCATGGGGGGTGGTACCATCCCTGGGCTGCTGGTCCTGAGTTCTATAAGAATGCGGGCTGAGCAAGCCATGATGATCAAGCCAGTGAGCAGCATCCCTCCATCAGCTCCTGCCTCCAGGTTCCTGCCCTGTTTGAGTTCCTGCCCTCATTGCTTTTGATGATGAGCTGTTATGTGGAACTGCGAGTTAAATAAACCCTTTCCTCCCCAAGCAATAGAACCCTAACTAAGAACGAAACGTAGGCAGAGGCCATGGAGAAATACTGCTTACTGGCTTGCTCTTCGGGGCTTGCTCAGCCTGCTTTCTCACAGCACACAGGATCACCAACCCAAGGGTGGCATCATTAACAGTGATGGGGGCTCCCCCACATCAATCACCAATCAAGAAAATGTACCACGGGCGGGCTTACCTACAGGCCGATCTGGTGGGGGCAGTTTCTCAACTGCAGTTTCCTAGTCTAAAAGGACTCTAGTGTATGTCAAGTTGACAGGAAGCCAGCCAGCCCAAGGACCAAGCACAACCTTGGAACTTGAGAAAATATTAAAAATAAACAGTTCATCACCATCCCAGCACAACTTCAATGGTTTGGGAGAAACAATTGCTGTCTTAGAACAAGGTCAGGGCCATTGCTGGCCAAATGACACTGGGGGAAGCAGCAGCCATCACAGATGGAAGAATCATTAAGGAACCAAGTATGTAGTGTTCCCTACCTTGGGACATCACAGGCACAGAAGGAGAAAGTCCTTGCACTGGAAAGAAGAGTAGAAAGCGATGGGAAGGGCTGCCATGTAAGACCACATGCTCCAGAAACCACCTCAGGTGAGCTGATGTCAAAACTTTTATGGCAAAAGCTAGCCATTTGGGCAAAGAAACTACCTGCCTCAATTGCTGACAGTATACTGTCCAAACTGGATCAGCGGGATGCAAAAAA